TTACAAAGATGGTACAGATGGATGATTATAAATTGATGTAGTCTGCAGATGCGGACGTAATAACTTGAGATAAGCGCGAGTCCAATGGTTAAGTGCCACGCTATAACTGGCCTCGACGTCCAAATCCCTACTGCAATTTCCCTTTCCAACTTTGGTTTTTCCATAACATGCCTTCAAGGGCGCTAAAAACCACTTTAGCCGCTTACCTCCTTAAATTTGAAAGTTTTAACTTTTATTTTATATTATAATATTTTTAACCTCACATCTTATTAAATTTATAAGTTTTAATTCATCACTTATTAAAATCAAAGAAAATAACTCTTATTTTATTATGATTATTAACTCTATTAATTGAAAGTAAATTTTTATTAATTAACAGTCAATTAATCATCAGTTAACAGTATTAACGAAATATTATAAAATTAATTCTGTTAATTCTATTAACTGAAAAAAGATTTTTGTAAATTAACAATCAACTAACAGTCAGTTAATATATTTAATAATCAACTAATAAAATTAATAAAATATTATAAAGTGAGAATTATTTTCTTCAATTTTAATAAGTAATAGATTAAAATCTACAAATTTAATAAAGTAAGGGATTAAAAATGTCATAATATAAAGTGAAAGATTAAAATCTTTAAACTTGATAAGATGGAACTAAATATAAGTTTTTACCTCAGGGACATGATTATGCTAGAACAAATAATTGTTATTGATGCGTAGTTGTGTTTCCTTTAAAAATTTATTCAATGTAAAAATTAAGAATATAATAAATATATTTTTAATAAATCAATTTATATTAAAAAAAAACTAAGATTAATTTGAATACCTATACCATATAGATATTTTTCATTGAATATTTGGTAAAATTAATTTCAGTGCAATTTACAAACGATAGAATTGATTTGAGGGCATTTGCATGATCTCATCCCATGCACACTTTTCAAACTAGTAATACCAAATACGGTTTAGAATTTTAAGAATAATCCAAATCTCCAGCAAAAGATGATTGGAAATTTGGAATAGATCAATTCAGAAAAAATTGGGAGAACAGATAAAAGAAAAAACAGGTGTAAACTATAAGTTAACAAATTAATGATGTTTAAGATGACTATCAAGTGCATTAGTCAAGTAATTGGCCCATGCCATACGCTGAAGATTTTTATATCAGATCTAGTTTGATTAATTCAAATTAATCTAATTAAAAATCAATTATAATTGTTATTTAATTGAATTAATTTGGATAAAAAATTAAAAATTAATTAAATTAGTTTGATTTATTATTTTATTTCGTGACTATCAAATCCAAATAGATATTGAAATAAGTAATTAAAAAAAGATTTTTTTTTTATTTTTATATTTTCAACATTTATTCATCTTAATTCTAAAGTTGTATTTTATGATATTTTTATTTATTATAAATTTATTTGATTTTACTTTTGTTTTTGTATGATTAAAATTTAAGAAAGAAAAATCAATATAACCGAACTCTCAAAAAACAATTTTTTTCTTTAGGAAAAAATTGATAAATCTAATCCAAACTAATCCAATCTAATAATAATTGAATTAGTTTGATTTTAGTATATTAATTGGATTAGATTGGTTTGACATTTTTTTCAATTCAGTTGAATTGAATTGAATAAAAAAATTGTCAAAGACCGATCTATCCAAACCACAAACACTCTTACCATATGCTAAGATTAATTTTTATCCAAGGATAACATAAAACAAAAAGTAACAAACATAATTTCAAGGTTTAATCTATTGATAAATGAAGATTATTTTATTAATTAAGTTTAGGATTTAAGTTTAAAGGATAGCACTTAAGAATATTAATTTATTTTAATGTATTAAAATAATATGATGAATACACCTAGAGGTGTTTGCCATTCACATGAATCGGTTTTAGATTTTTTTTTTTTTTCTATCCAATCCAATTTAATTAGATTGAAGAGATGTCAAACCAATTCGATCCAGTTAATATACTACAACCATACTAATCCAACATTTTTGGATTTGATTGATCGGTTTTGTCATATAGAAAAAAAAAACATTTTTAGGAGTTTAATTACATTATTCTTCTTTTTCTTTTAATTTCAATTTTACGAAAATAAAAGTAAAACTAAATAAACTTATAATAAATGAAAATATCATATGAGATAATTTTAGAGTTAGGATGAATAAATTGTCATCCAACTCAACTCCAAATTAATCTAACTCAATGTGGTTTATAAAAAACTTAGCACTTCAATAATCAATTTAAATTATAAAATAAAAAACTCAAAAATTTATATTATAAAAAAACATTAGGTGTGAACCAACTCTATGGTTAAGGAACGAGGCAGACTGAGCAAAAGAAAAGGACAAAAATATAAATGAGACAATACGATAGGTAAACAAGATTATAGAATCTCTAGGGTACACCAATTAAATGTACCAAACTACAAACATAATTGGGATATCCAGATCCATTGTCGAGTCTTTCAGAAAAACAAAAATAAAAGTAGTCTTGTCTATTTTTGCTGTTTAATACTATATAATTAATTTTCCTGGAACTTCTTTTATCTCAATTTCCTTGCAATTGTTTACGTTTTGGAGTAATGTTGAAAATGATTAGCCTTAATTACATGAAGTCTACTAACAAATATGGGAGATTTCTATACAAATAAAAACAAAACCTTTCAAAACTTATTTAATTAAAAATATAACATTTACAATTTTACTAATCAAGACTATTACTTTTAAAATTTTTTAATAAAAAATATAACTTTTGAGATTTTACTAAAAATGCATCAAGTGAATGTATAACTTGATTATAAACTTTTTAAATGTTAGCTTTTATTAAAAAATTACAAAAATTATATTCTTAATTAAGTTTTTTTAAAAAATAATTATATTCTTATTTGTATGAGATCTCCTAGATTGGGAGTTGATTCATAGATTTTAAATTTTGTTTTTGGTACATAAAATTCTTAATTAAATTTTTTAAAAAATAATTCCTGCAGGCTTGGACTAGGACCAAAAGCATGTAACTAACAAGTTATCTAGTCATATCCCCAGACCAATATCAGGTGGATCAATGAAGCCGACAAGGACCCTAGGACCAGCAGTTGCTAGTTCTTACTACAAGGGACTTTGGGTGTATTTCATTGGGCCAGTAATCGGAACTCTGTTGGGGGCAAGGTCCTATGGTTTCATCAGGGAGACTGATAAGCCTGTCCAGGGAATCTCCCCACGATCATTCTCCCTCAAGCTCCATCGCATGAGGAGGAGCACTGAGGAAAGTGTTTCCAACAAAGACCCTGACACTTCTCTCCGAACTCATTGGCAGTCATTGCTGAGTTTGCAGAGTTAGAAATGGCAGAGTGATGTGTGTGATTTTACTTACCCTGTAACAGTGTTGGTGCAAGAACTATTTGAGCGCAGTTCTGTAAATGACAAATATCTTCTACAAGAATGCTTACTGTTTATGCTATATTAAAACCATTATTGCCAGTAAACTTGCATTTCCTGTGACAATCAAACACTTCACATTTCGAAATGTGTTTTCAGCTGACACGCGAACTACAAATTGGAGTTGGACACATGTTTTTTACACAAACTCATCAACAATTCCACTTTAATGAACTCATCCCATTTTCAATAGCCAAGACTGAGAAAAGGATTTGGATCCACATACCTGTGTATAATTGATGCCTTCTTTGAAAGGTACGGACAGGTCTATAATTCAATACAAAAGTAAACCCGAAAAACCAAACCACAAATTCTTAATTAGCCTTTATTCCGTGTTAGGACCAAAATAAAAGTGAAAAGAAAATTAGCATCACAAAATCCTGATGATCAGGTTCAGGACCACACTAGTATTCTATGATGCTCCCCTTGATTAGAGACGTCCCGTAAAACTGGAAAAAGAAACAATCCAACAAATGAAGAGTAAAATATGAAGCAGAATCCTTTGACACACTTGATACAAGTCAAATGATGCAGCTGAATCACTAATGCATGCAAATATGCAATGGTTCTAGTTGCATATGCTGCAAAATCTGCCAGGTTCCTTCAATGTGATTTGTTTTCAATAATTTAGAAGATTAACCAAACCAGAAAGCCGAGTGATGCAGAAAGTTAACGTAACATAATGAACCGCGGAATTTGGTGTTTTGGTACAGACATCACACGCACCAACTACTCAGTCAGCGCTACTCCAAATCTCTAACAAGTTCAAGTTCGAACCGAAAAGTAGAAACCAAATAGTTCCTTATGCATTGATCAATCAACTAACTCCAAATCCCAGTTATCCGATTGACAGATGAAATTGCATTTTCCACCGCTTTCACGGAAATTAAACGAAACTAAAAGATTTGATTTGGGAATTGAGAAGAATCTCCAACCATGTGAAATGGACCAACGGGTTTGTTCGCCGGCGTAAGACTTGAAGTTCGAAATCATCGTTGCGTTGATGAGCCGCCTCCAC